CTCAGCCTTCCATCCTTCCGAGGTGGGTAAAATGAGGACCCAGATTGTTGGGGGCGATATGCTGACTCTCTGTAAACCGCTTAGAGAGGGCTGAAGCCCTATGAAGCGGTATATAAGTCTACTGCTATTGCTATTGCTTGTGATTTCTCTTCAGATTGTACAAATTGCACAAATGCATTTACCACCATTAGCCGCAGCTCCGAGCAAAGCATTTATTAATATCCTTCCTGAGGTTGTAAAAAAAATAAAACAAAACAATAAGTGAAAGATAAAAGCGAATGATAAAAGACGGTAACCTCAACTTCGTGTGTGCTGTCCCAAAAAAACCTTATCTAGAATGTAGAATTTTTTTAAAATAAAAAAGCTTACTGAACCAACAGAGATGGAAGCTCTCTCTCTCATACACTCATCCATTATTTTTGTAAGCACATATCCTTTTGATGTACTGATGTTTAACATCAGCGAAGGGAGGGCACTGCATTTGGAGCGCTATCTTGTATGCATTTCTTTCCTGATTTGTGCTCCTGATAAGAGTTACTCTTTGGGTGATTTCAAAGGGCTGGCTAGCAGAGTTCCTCTTCAACCCCCCTACCCCTCCGCCTTTTGATGAAACATGTGGGAACAAAGCTATAATTGCCAAAGACATTTTAATTGGATAAGGGTGGTCCTGCAGCCTTGTTGTGATTCCGAACACCAATGTTTTCATTTGGAGCTTTACATTGGCAGCTGGAGAGATGGTGGAGACTCGTAGTCCATTTGAATTGTCCCCAGGGACTTCTAAGTGGGAGAGGATACTATGCATAGCTATTCCACCTTGGGGGTGAGGGGGGGGTGGTTGGAATAAACTTTTGTACCTCCATGTGGTTTTAATTTCAGCAAGTGTTTGGACAGCAGTACACGAAGCTTGTCATGGTGAGTTGGCTAGCAGTGCCCTTTCACTGGCCAAATTTTACCCTTTCAAGACCTTCCTTTGTAATAATAAGGACACAGCGTGAAGCTGATGCAAAACACTATTCTGAAGTTTTGACATATCAAACGTATCGCATTTTTTGCACCACAGCCAAGATAAAACTGAATTCCTGCCACGATCCTGTACCACGGATAGAAGTATCCATTGTTAAGAAGATCAGACCCTGCTTCCAGATATATCCAGTACATCACTTAAAAATGGCATTTGTATGTTTCTGCTATGGCTAGGGTGAAATCTGCAAAGAATCTGGCCCTGTTCAGATCTTTCCTATTAATAGCACCCATGAATTAATGGAGCATTAAATTATATTATGCCATCGCATTAGCTAGGGTCACCTACCATGCTAACCAAACCAGCAAATCGTTATATGGTACATTTAGTGCAATGCATGAACCCAGATCACGGGGCATACGTCTTGGGAGATATTTATAGGATTGTAGTGGACGTATTTTAAACCAGCTCCTATTCACCTAGCCTCCGTATTCCTAACGCTGCTAAGTGAATTAACATTGTGATTTATCTGAAAGCCACTATTACAGTGGTTCCACCACAAAAGCGCGTAGGACAAAATCGCGCTCGACAAAAGCGCGCTGTGACGTCATCACAGCGCGACGAAAAA